TTTTAATTAATGAAGCTAAATGTGATCTGCTAGACATAAATTTTCTATGATATGCACTTGTAAAAAGGATACAACAAATGCTTATCATGTTACGTACTCTTAAAAACATCACGAAGGTCGCTGAATATCGGCAAACATATTTCAAGTTTGTAGAACTTTTCATTGAATACATCATCACTGCAGTTATTGAAATTCTCAGCTCAAAATAAGAAAATATATTATTTTTTGATGTCAAATATTTTTATATTTATGATAAAAACTTAAGTTTATAAATGATTGTAATTTTCGCGTCCACTAGTGAAAAATACTGCACACACATATATATATATATATGCATTTTTTATCTAAAATTAATTATCTCCGGAGAAGTCAGCTACAATAGTAGAACTGCCTGCAGCTAGGTTGCTATTCGCCTTGTCGTCGACCACCACTAAGTCTTATTCTATCTCGGCGCCAGTAAAGATATAACATGACTGATGATGGCTCTATGAAGGTCCTTCGCATATAATATTTAATATCATTAAAACGGTTTTGAACTGAGAAGAATGATGATACCATCGCAATATACCATCGACTGTGTTCATATAATACAAACCACAGATATATATTCCCCTGCAGACCACACATAGCATATTTTTTTTAACGTTGCCGTGGCCGTATAGAAATATTGGTACAAGGACGACGAGAAAAATTMATAAGAACCGCATCGATTTGGTGTGCAGACCACAAGTCCACAATTAAATAATATTAATTATCATTATACACGCGTACTTACCTATATATTATATTTTATATAAAATGTATATATAAGTACACGACAAAATTTATCGTTTATTCAGTCACCGGTTATGTAGACATAAATACTATATGGTCATCGTTTCGATTCATATTTATTATACATATTATACGATAAATCTATGTATAGCAAATATATCGTAGTCCGACCGGGTCGATCGCCTATATAATATCTAATTCTATATAGCTATATATTTAATACGTAATTTATGCATGTGTAATTTGTGTCCATTTCGATCCGAGTAAATAAATATATATGTACACGAAAAWCAGTAGAAAAACTAAGTGTATGTACGTTACCTAACACTGTGCGATATACCTGTACTCATAAATAATGGCGACAAAATTTGTGCCGTTTATGCTTTTATCGTGTTACACGATCGTGAAAAATGTTGAATCCGCTAAGCTCCAAGCTCTACCGTTACGTAAGTAATATAGGTATATTATATCTATAAATAATCATAAAAAACAAAATAATTACCTACTGAACAATCGCTAATTATTATGTACAATAAAATGTTTCAAAGTATTATAAATAAATAATATTACAAAATATTAAACTTTATGACGAATTATAGGTAAGCAGTTTTTGTTTTAATGTGTATTTAATTAGGTCTAGGTGTGAGATTTGTCATGAATACAATTTTTTTT